CTCCAACCCTGTTTTCTGTGACACGTGACAAAATGGGGGCCCTAACCCTAACCCTAGCCAAGACATACACTGTGAAAACAGGGAGTCAATCTCCAACCCTGTTTTCAATCTCCAACCCTGTTTTCTGTGACACGTGACAAAATGGGGGCCCTAACCCTAACCCTACGGAGGCCGCGAAACGGTCCAAGTGTGGGGGAAGCAATGGGCGTGAGGCAGCGGTGCTCAACTGCTTATTTCTCGAGGCCCTCTGCATGAAAAGTGGTTCCGTCTTTTTTGTCGTGCTCGGAGCGCACGTGTGGGTGAGTGTTTGAAAAATCGCAACAAGCAAATTCTTTATAGTGGAGAAAATTTGTCAATACAAGCCCAAACGGAGGCCGCGAAACGGTCCAAGTGTGGGGGAAGCAACGGGCGTGAGCCGGCGGTGCTCAACTGCTTATTTCTCGAGCCCCTCTGCATGAAAAGTGGTTCCGTCTTTTTTGTCGTGCTCGGAGCGCACGTGTGGGTGAGTGTTTGAAAAATCGCAACAAGTAAATTCTTTATAGTGGAGAAAAATTGTCAATACAAGCCCAAACGGAGGCCGCGAAATGGTCCAAGTGTGGGGGAAGCAATGGGCGTGAGGCAGCGGTGCTCAACTGCTAATTTCTCGAGCCCCTCTGCATGAAAAGTGGTTCCGTCTTTTTTGTCGTGCTCGGAGCGCACGTGTGGGTGAGTGTTTGAAAAATCGCAACAAGCAAATTCTTTATAGTGGAGAAAATTTGTCAATACTAGCCCAAACGGAGGCCGCGAAATGGTCCAAGTGTGGGGTAAGCAATGGGCGTGAGGCAGCGGTGCTCAACCGCTTATTTCTCGAGCCCCTCTGCACTAAAAGTGGTTCAGTCTTTTTTGTCGTGCTCGGAGTGCACGTGTGGGTGAGTGCTTGGAAAATCGCAACAAGCAAATTCTTTATAGTGGAGAAAAATTGTCAATACAACCCTAACCCTAACCCGAACCCGAACCCGAACCCTAACCCAACCCTGTTTTCTGTGGCGCGTGACAAAAAGGGGGCCCTAAGCCAAGACATACACCGTGAAAAAAGGGATCCAATCCCCGACCCTGTTTTCAATCTCCAACCTTGTTTTCTGTGACACGTGACAAAATGGGGGCCCTAACCCAAGGCATACACAGTGAAAACAGGGATTCAATCCCCAACTCTGTTTTCAATCTCCAACCCTGTTTTCTGTGACACGTGACAAAATGGGGGCCCTAACCGAAGACATACACCTTGAAAACAGGGATTCAATCCCCATTCCTGTTTTGAATCTCCAACCCTGTTTTCTGTGACACGTGACAAAATGCGGGCCCTAACCGAAGACATACACCGTCAAAACAGGGATTCAATCCCCAACCCTGCTTTCAATCCCCAACCCTGTTTTCAATCTCCAACCCTGTTTTCTGTGACACGTGACGAAATGGGGGCCCTAACCAAGACATACACCGTCAAAACAGGGATTCAATCCCCAACCCTGTTTTCAATCTCCAACCCTGTTTTCTGTGACACGTGACGAAATGGGGGCCCTAACCCTAACCCTTACCACGTGACAACAAGGGGGCCCCATGCCATGACATACACCGTGAGAACAGGGATTCAATCCCCAACCCTGTTTTCCATCTCCAACCCTGTTTTCTGTGACACGTGACAAAATGGGGGCCCTAACCCTTCGCTGTCGGCCATCACGCCATGAGGAACGGGGTTGCGTCCTACCCAAAATATCTCAATTACCAAAACGAAACGACGACACACCTTCGCTGTCGGCCATCACGCCATGAGGAGCGGGGTTGCGTCCTACCCAAAATATCCCAATTACCAAAACGAAACGACGACACACCTTCGCTGTCGGCCATCACGCCATGAGGAGCGGGGTTGCGTCCTACCCAAAATATCCCAAATACCAAAACGAAACGACGACACACCTTCGCTGTCGGCCATCACGCCATGAGGAGCGGGGTTGCGTCCTACCCAAAATATCCCAAATACCAAAACGAAACGACGACACACCTTCGCTGTCGGCCATCACGCCATGAGGAACGGGGTTGCGTCCTACCCAAAATATCCCAAGTACCAAAACGAAACGACGACACACCTTCGCTGTCGGCCATCACGCCATGAGGAGCGGGGTTGCGTCCTATAGCTCCAAATTCGAGACATCCAGACGTTCCACTTCGAGACCGAAGCAGTCCAAGAACTCCTGCTCCTCGCTGTTGAGCTGAAGAGACACCGAACCGGGCAGATGCTGCACTGCCGGTCCGTTCCTCCCGCAATCCTGAAAGAAACTAGCCGTTTCCCCGGCTCCATCCCTATAATATCCAGACGCATACCCAGCGTCATCCACCCTATCTCTAGTAGCGTCCCCCGCTGAACTGCGCTCCCTTTCCTCCTCAAGTTTCCTCCGTAACTCCGCGATCTCGGCTTCCGCTTTCTTCATTTCTTCTTCCATCTCTCTCTTCTCTCTTTCCGTCATCGCTGTACCAACACCTGGCCTAGCTAGGCTCCACTATATCGTGTTAGTGCACTGCCGCCCTCAGCGGTCTGTGGTGTTGAGACTGGGGACTATGTTATCCCAGGAACAGCTGATAAAAAAGGACCATGTATTGTTTATATTCGTCACGCAAGCCCCTCAGGCAAGCTGGTATTCGACACGCAAGCCCCTCAGGCAAGTGCCGGGAGCACACCGTCGTTTGCTCCCGGGGGCCCCGCACTTGGGCCACAACCGCACACATACCCTCACACCCATACTTCCAATACGCGTATCCCCCACAGAGGATGCACAGATCGGACTCATATATATCCAAGTACCACAAACATACATCGGCTGAAAATAATGCATGCCCTGAATTAAAAATGGGCGGCGCGTTTTCAAGAGTGAACGATACTCTCGAGGCGGCGAACTCGACGACGGGAAAGGTGCACGTATCTGCAAGAGATAGCATGCATGGTGTTTGTGTTAAAAATAATTACTAAATGCGGGTCGAGATGACAAGCTTATCGATGCGACCAAAAAAACAATTTTCCCTGAGACGAAATTGCGGGGTTTTGTTATTTCAGCACTTTTTTGTCTGTTCGCCGGATCTATGTATTTATCGATACATTACAGCCTCGCTATATCCGACCAAGAGCGCGATCGGATTGATTTTTGGAGACGAGTGTGGTTTGGTGATGCAGGTTTTGCTCATTACGCCATGCAGGTTTTGGCCATCATAGCAGTGGTTTATGTGTTGAGACGAGCTGTCAAAGTCATGTCGAGAGGCGCTATGATCGCCCTGCAGACCAGAGGCGTATCGGCCCCATTGTTGCAGAAATTCCTTTTGGCCTGAGTTAGGGAGACCAAACTGGTCGCGCCTGTCGTTTTTCGGATGAGATGTGGGCGCTTTTCAGGCAAAGATCACAATGCATGATCACGTACCCCTTCTGTATGTTGGGATGTGGGAGTTGTAGGGGTGCGGATCTCGCACGGTAGCTGTCATCAGTGTGATGTCAATCACGAAGAAAAAAAGAGAAACAACAACGCAGACAGCATACACACCCACCACCCACAACAACCACACGGTAGGTGACTACCAACGCTTGTGGGCGCTACACCCCAAAAAAAAAAACAGAGAGACAGCAGCGCAGACAGCAACACACACACGCTACACCCGCAGCAACGATAGTACAAACACAAGCAAGACCAGCCAAGAGACATCATCCCTCCAGACGTCAATGCCAAGTGGCGCATCCACGGGCTTGAGCCCCTCGGGCGCGATGGGCATCGAGTGCTCGACGACGATCCAATCATTTCGGCGCCGGGATGTACTCTGTCAGCTACCTCGCTCAATACGCCCTGGCGGGTCGGTGCAGCTGTAGTCGGCATTATTCATCCTTCTGGCACGCTTTGCCTCGGTGTCGCAGCACATGAAAACGAAAGAAAGGACGAACGCGGTTGCAAGGGTTTGTGGGTATGGGAGTGGTCAATATCGAGAATGCGAGCATGCCGGGGCAAGCCGACCGTCCCAGAGTCGAGCCGCGCAAGAGCACCATATTGCCGGGCGGCAGCGCCGGCCTCGCGTGTCACGAACAAAAATCAGAATCCCGGCACACAACGGTGAACAAACATACTAATTTCCACCCCGTTTCTGCTGTTCGCAGACCACTCATATCGACATGGAGGCCGAAAAGAGGAAGGAGCTGAAAGAGCTGTGCGTTCATCGACGGAGATCTTCAAACTCCACCCCTCTGCACTGCTGCCACGAAGGGGAACGTGGGGTGAGTGATGGCGCTCTTGGACAACTTCGGAGCTGACAAAAACTTCAAGGACAACGTGGGCGAGACACCCCTGACGAAAGCTAGCCGCGAGAAAGCCAAGACTTGCGGAGTTCCTAACCCCGAGCGCGTGTATCAGCGCCGGTACGATACAGGGTAGGACCACCTTGGCCCGCATGTTGACAAAGCGCAGCGGGTACGCCTTCTCGCCAACGAGTTCATCTGGCGTGGCGTCTAATTTCCACTCATTCGCCAAGTACGCGTCACCAGAGCCCTCCTCCAAGTTGACCGAGCACTGGGAATGTTGGCGCTTCACCGTGTTCAGCTCTGACCGTGACAGAGGGACATAGCCCTCGAGGAAGTTTGTCGGGCGCCCCTGGCGGTAAGCCAAGGTGAGCATGTGTATCATGCTCTTCAGCCTTGCCTCCCACGCCGCACGCGTGGAGAGAGGCTTGGGTGCTTCCGAAAAAGGGCCTGTCACAACATCCCCCGTGAACAAACTTCCTCCCACCACGTTATCGCTCTCCACGACCCCTAGGTCGCCCAGGAAGTTGAGCTTGGCCATTGATCCACGTTCTTGTGCGAATTGGTGCAACTTGGTAGCCTCGTCATCCATGTCTCTTGGCCAGAAGTTCGCGGGCAGGGTGTCCTCCACGCTCAGGCCGGTGGAGACTCTGAGTATGAGGGTCCGCCGCTCGACGAGACGCTCCTTTAGCGCGCGCAGCTACTGCAAGTTCATGTCACCCTCGTCCAAGTCGAAACTACCGCTCTCAAGCCTTGTAATAGCATCGTCGACGTTCCATAGCATCCCGCCCGACATGTTTCCACCGTCTCTCTCGAACGGCACCCCGCGAGCCATCATAGCGGTGTAGGTCGCCACAAGGAATCGAACAAAGCGCCGACACTCGTCATCGAGAGTCACACCTCCGCCACACCTTGTCTCCAGCAGCTCCCACTGTCCAATCTCGGTCCCGTCTTCCAGCGTGTACTTGCCGGTGTTGAACGACTTCACGACCAGCTCCCGCCCGCCGATCTCGACCTTTGTCTCGTTCAAAGGGTCCAAAGGGTTCAAAGACACCCCGATGTGGCTAGGGTTGAACATGTAGGCTGCGCTGAAGGCGCTCTCCAGCTCATCGAGTTTATCACGGCGGCAGTAGACCCCATCTTCGACGAGAAGGTTGTCGTTGTTGGGGTCCTCCGTCAGCCCCGTTAGCATCTTGGCTAGTCCCGGGACCGTCTCCACCCCATACACCGTACATCCCGCTGATTTCACCGTTTTCTTCCGAGCCTTGGTTGTCCGATCAGACTGGGCCCGTTTTGCCGCGATACATTTCGCCTCACTTGCCTCGTGCTCCGGGTCCGGGGTAGTGAATATCCTCCCCATTTCCGGTGCTTCCTTGCGCCCCTTCCCCGGGGGCGGTTTGGTTCCCTGGGGGCTCTTCGGACACGCACGGCTACCGCCACGTCCGCCGCCCCTCCCACCGCTGCTGCCGCCGCTGCCACGGCTACGGCTACGACTGCCTCTCGCGCCACCGCCCCTCCCCCCGCTGCTGCTGCCACTGCTTCTGATGTCACTCTCGCCACCAGTGTCGCCCCCACCGCTACTACCGGGGCCGCCCCCGTCGTCACCGCTACCACCACCGCCACCGCTGCTGCCACCGCCGTCGACCGCATCCATAGGGGCCACCCGCTCGTCACCCCCGCCGTCGCCACCACCGCTAAGGCAACCGTCACCGGCAGGGCAACGTGGGCGTTTATCGCCACCGGCGCGACCGGGCTTGCGTTTACCGCCACCGCCGCCACGAACGAGGCCGCCACTGCCGGCATTGACGACGATTAAACCCGAGGAAGTTTCTCTAACTTCACCTTCCATCTCGGGATGCAAGTGTCGTAGGGTAGATGTGTGTGCCGCAGGACGAAGTTCGTCTCCATGTCTTGCCGCTCGTCTTAACCTCTTGGTCCTTCCGCCTGACATACAGGGAAAGATGGAAAAGGATGAGTGTACTGTGACACCAAATGAAAGAAGCAATGCAACTTGAAGATAAACCTTACCGGTGATCGGAGGTGCGGGTTCGGCCTGCGCTCCGGACACCATCGGGTCATCCCCCGTCTCCTCCCCCGTCTCCTGCTCCTCCACCTGAACCGGGCCTTGTTCCGCCTCCTCCCCCGTTCCCTGGAGAAAGCAACGGGGTAAAGAAAGAGAGGAGTGGGTTTGTGAAGCTCGTTGTGGATGACACATGACGGCACGGGTGATCTCATCCACAGCAGAAGAAAACTTGTTGGCCTCTACACTTTTATCTAAACGTACCTGATCTCCCTCGGGGGCGTCCCCTCCCCCTCGGAAGGAAGTGGGCGACCGGCGGCGGCGTCCACCCACGCGCGCACTTCTGGCCAGCCGCTTGCGCCGCAAGGCCCGGCGGAGGCGCTTGTCCCGGACGCGACGCGGGACCCGTCGCTTCTTGTTCGGTCTCGTCGTCGTCCTCCGCCCGCCGCTGCGGCGCGCCTTGCCGTACCACCGGGGGTGCGTCCTGGTCCACACGGACCATACCGACGGGAACAAGTAGACCTCCTCCCCCTCCTCCTCGACGAAGACGCAGTTGTGGTCGAGGTACTTCTGGTAGTCGTCCCAGTGCTCATCGTCGTCCCACGGGTGAGACGCCCAGGAAGCCTGCGATGAGGTGGGGCTCGGGGGTGCGGTCGTCGAATCGAAGAACTTGGTGTCGCTGCCGACGTCGACGCCAGGGGGCTTCTACAGAAAACAATGGAGACAAAATACAAAATACACGCGAGAATAGAGGGGACAAGATGTGCTTCAGCAATCGAGAGGATCAGCGCTGGTCAACTGTGATACGTCACCACCTACGCCAAAAAGGTACGGTGCTGCAGACTACACAACACACCTTGACGTCATCTTCCGTGGTGGTGGCGTCGGCGCCCGTGGTGGCAGCACTCTTCTCCAAGGCACTGTTGATGCACCCCTCGATGAAGTCCATCACGTCATTCACCTCGCGCTCGCTCCCCCTTGCCCTTTGAAAACATGAGAAAGGAAGAGGGGGGGAGTAAATCCACCGCACCCGAGAACTACGTTTGCTTCAGCGGAGACAACGGTGATCATTATAATAATCGCCTGTATGGTGAACTTACATTGCGTGTAATTGCAGCGAAGTGCCCCGGTTGCCATAGCACCATGCGTTCCCCCGTTAGCACGGTAGTTTTTCCGTGCACATCCTCCAGGAACCCATCGACCTCGGGCACGATCTCGATGTTTGACATCCCGAGACCCCTGCTAAGTAAGCGGATAGCCAAAGGATCGCCGTTCCCGCCCTGGAGGCGCACGCAGCTCCTCCAGTCGTCTTCGTTGTCGAGTGAAGCGTTGTAGTTGTTGGCCAGCCTCCGCTGAGCCTCCTTGGTGAGCGCCTTCCGTGGACCAACGAATCCGGTGCGATCCCGGGGGTCCTTCGATCGATCCAGCTCGAGTATCGTGAGGCTGCGACTCTTGCGGCACAAACGATTGATTCTATCCTCGGGGCCGAGGGAGAACGAATGCTCGACCAGACCACCGGGGTAGCTTGCATCCATAGCGCGGAGCTGCAATGTCGCGAGTAGGTAGCAGTTGCCACGTTTAGCGTTCTTCAACACGTCACCCCCGAGGTCAGTCATGGCAAAAATGCCCATGGTTGCGACGTTTCACCTGGAGCAAGCGAACAGGGGTGGGACATGAGGGTAGCGCGTTGGGAGAAGATTCGTCGTAGACGAAGAGAGGTGTGAAGGTGCGGAAGAGGGAGGGCGTAAGCGTCGTAGGGGAGGGAGGGGAGGAGGTGTGTCACCAGGCCGGGCGTAAGCGTCGTAGGTGGGGGAGGAGGTGTGTGGTCAGGTCGTGGCCCTCAAAAACATTTTTCAGATTTCAAAAACGTTTTTCAATAGTGTTCCTGAACAGCGGATGGCCCCAAAACACGCCATCCAGGCGCCGAAACCCCACCTATTTTTGTGTTAGATAAATGGAGGACCCTCCACACTCTATGTGAGTGTTTTTATTTCTTTCCGTTTATTCTTTTGATAAATTTTGGGCTCTGGGAGCGTTTGTCGCGTTTGCATTTATTCCTAAATTAGGGGGTGAGTCCATCGGAGAATTCGAATCCACTGCCGAATTCGCCGAGATAAACGGGGGCGCCACGCTTCGTATAGGGCTGTCCGTTTCTAGATCTTCTACCGCACCCGCATCTGTTCCGGACCAGGGGGCACATACATCGCTTTCGCTAGGAGCAGCCACCATTGCTTTGTCTGTCAATACAACTTTGGACGGTGCAAGGTGCTCCTGGTCGGTCCTCAGTGACAAGGATCGCGAGCATACCGTAGTTACGGCGTGCGTCTCTGAAGCGTCCTCTGGAGACGGTGTTGTCAACACTCTCAATGTCGATCGCGGGATAATCCTCTGCTGTACCTCTGCACGATCGGTCGCGTTGGAAAATGGTGGGGTCTGCTTAGCCCCACGAGGCGGGAACCATCGGTCGGAACCAGACGAAACCGCTACCGGTGCGGCGGCGGCTGGCGGACCAACGGCAGCAGCGAGTGCAGACGAGTCAAACGTATCAGAAGACGCCTCAGAATTGACCACTTCTTGCGAATCCTCACCAATGGTAGGAAGTGCGTTGCTCTCGCCGGTCTTACCTGCAGACGCCGGGGGGAGCTGCTGAACAACACTCGGTGGCCCCGTGCGTCTGGTTGCTCTGTTCCCACACCTCAAGACAGCACTCGCATCGGGGGAGTCATTTCTCGAAGGAGCGGTCATCAAAAGAGGCGTAGTAGCAGAGGTCGCAGGCGAAATGTCGGAGGGTGGAAGGGGAACGGCATCGTCTTGTGCATTCCCAGCCCTTGCGACAGAATATGAAGAAGAAACAGCGGGTGCGAGGGCACCAGCGTTTCGCAGGGCAGGAGCATCTTCTCTTCACCATCCCTCCTACACACTATATCTAGCTAAGAACATTCTAAATGCTCCGATGGTGCCGAAGGCGGGTCGGGGGAGGTACACGAACCGCCACCGACGAGTCAGTTGGAACCACGAGCGTTGTGGCCATTCTGACCGCCAGATTGGAAATTGCCCGGCTGTCTAGCGTTGTATTTGGACGAGACGGAAGCGCCAGGAGGAGAGCCTGTGTGGACCGACGATTGCGGTCGGTATGTAGACAGAGCACCAGTGTGGTGGGTGTTGTCTGTGGACGGCTGTCGAGAGTTGTGAGCAAAATTTCCATTATTTCGACCATCCTTCTGGGAGTAACCGTTGTGACGGTAATCCCCTGCGTGATTTCTACGCGAGGACAAAGAGTGGCGTTTGTTTCTCCCGCCACCAGCACCCGAACCGGTGTGTGGCTTACCACGTTAAGACCTCATATGGCCTTGCCAACGTCGGAAAGCGTCGGAGTTGTCTTGCAGCTCGCCACAGTTCTGGGTTCAACAGACCGCTAGAATTTGTGAAAGGAGCTGGGCAGTGTTTCATGGAATGGTCATCACGAGAGCAGTTCAAACAAAGGTACGGTTCTCTCGAAACGTTTGCGAGCGAGAGTCCTGTGTCAAATGAGGAGTCCACAAAAAAGGATCACCGGTGTTACGGAAAGAGGAAATTGACTTGGAACACATTCGACCAATCGCCCTGTGTGACGGGTCATGCGTTGTAATCACGGGAAAACGGATCATCACCGCCACCCTGAGACTGAACTGCCAAAACAACAGGATTCTGCGCAAAACCTTGTGCCCACCGGCCCGAAGGCGCAGGTGCAGATGCACGGTTCTGATAACGCCTCGGCTGTGAAGAGTCAGGCGTAAAAGACAAGGAAAAATAGTCTGAACCTCCTACAGCGAGGGTTTTGTTGTTGGCCAAAAGGCGCGAACGCCTGCCACATCGCATCAATCGAAACAAATGGTGTCACGGCCGTGGCCAGGTCACCGGGGTACAGCATCGGAGCCAACGACGGAAACTGCTTACTTCCAGAATTCCTGACTATATCAAGCACCCTAGACACGCTAGGAGTCAATACACGCTCAGACCCAGTCACCGAAGAAACCAAAAGACGGAACGCCCGAAGGTAATCCGCAAACAAGGTTCCATTCGAAACACCAAACTGCTGAAGTCGCAAGAAAGACTCCTGCCGGTCGCCGACATGGAATTGCTCCGACAACAGCCGCAGAAGGAACGTGAAGGCCTCCGGGCCCGTGGCTCCTTCATCCAGCCTCGGTTTTAATTGCTGAAAGCATTCATAAATAGAGGACAAGGTCGGATGTAGTAGGTTCGTCAGGTGTGATCGCACTCAACATTCGCCTTTGAAGAGGGCGTTCCCAACCGCGGACAAAATCGGTGTCCGTCAAACCGACGCTACGATCATTACACAACAACAGAATATCTGAGAGTACAGATCGACCCGTGCGAATGAGCTGCTGGGATGCATCAGCCGGCAGCAAAGACGCAGGGAAAGGCATAGTGGCGACACGCTCAACTTGTTTGAGATTGAGGGTGATGTACTCACGTTGGACACGAACAACATGTGCGGCATCAACTGCCGAAGCAGCGGCGGCAACCGTTGCATGGCGAGCATAAGCAGTGGTGGAAGAAAGCGGTAAAACACTATCATCGGGGGGCGTACTCGTAATGGCGAGAGGCTCTGTTTTTACAGACGGTGGGGCAGCAACACCACGACATAGGTTCGGTCTTAATAGACGTTTTTGTGTCTGCAACATCAACACCACGGGGGTGTCTATGCACCAGACTTGTCACTACGCAACAACGTGTTCGAAAACACCAGATGACCATCACGCAAAAGAGCGTTAAGACGATCGTCAGAAGCAACGCCCACGAGAGAAGGTACTACTTGCCTGGAAGACCGGCCCGAAGAAGCCTTCCGGGAAGACCACGCTCCGAGGCGGAGTCCGAGGATGCTCCTCCAGCGGCGTCCGAAGACGGGCGAGAGGGGCGGCTCTTCTTCTTGACCACCTTCGTGTCCACGCGCTCCGAAGATCTGAACGCCGAAGAAGAAGCTGGACCACGGCCTCGATGGGAGGGGGCAGATCCCGCGGGTGGCTGCTGTCGCTGACGCCGGAGCCGCCTCCTCCGCTCCCGCACCCTCCGCTCTTCGTCCCGGTCTTCCTCGCCTTGGAAGATGAAGATGACGCCAAGGTGAAGTTGTCAAAAGACGGGACAGGGGGGGGTACAACAGGGTTATGGCAGCCAGGCCACGCCACCTTGCCAGTCACCCTCCCGTGTGCCGCCCGAAGGGACCCCAGCAAGTACTCGACCTGATCGAGCAAAGGGTTCCCACGAATCCGTGCCTCGTGCATGGCGCCTTCTACCGTCCTGTCCGGCGGCATGGCGATCGCTACAGCTCAGCCGCATGGAGCACTCGCTCGCTGTCTGACTCTTGGAAATTGAATTGCACACTTTGGCCATGTGCCTCAATGTTCCCTTCGAAAAGGCAGAGTCGCCCTGCTGAAAGGCGAGCGAGCGTTCGCTTCCTCGTGTGGCCGGGCTGGGGGCAGCGGCAGCGTAGGTCACCCCGGGAGACGACGCCGCCGGCGGCCTCCGCGAAGGAAGCGCCAGAAGTGATCGCGCTCCACCGATGAACCCCTGGAGGTGGCGCCGGAGCCGGATGCCTCGCGGTCCCGCAGCCGCCGCCGACGGCGCCCCTTGAAGGCTTCCAGCTCGCACCGGTGGCGGGCTCCGTCCGACAGCGGCGGCGGCCGTTGTCATCGAAGCATGCTTCGCTTGCAGAGCGGCTATGGCCGCCTCGGTGTCGTGGAGGTCGGTGGCGACCTTCAGGCTGACGCCCTCGTCGGAGACCATGGCGTTCTTGATACCGGCTTCTTCCTACCGATCCGCTTCGTCCTCCAGCTGTTGGGCCCGGGCCAAACGGTCGGTGGGCCCGGACGCGGTCCACTGCGGCGTAGGTGGCCGCCCCAGCCTCAGAAGAGACCAGCAAAAATTTCAGCTCCCGAGGGAAGTTATGCC